GCGTCTTGAGCAATGCTAAGGTATCTTTTCATCGATTTATTTTTGACTTGTACATTAGTATAGCATGATCTGGATTATCGAAGTAATAGAAACAAATTCCTTCTCTTCTCTATTACTATAAATCACTTCTACTACTTCTTGATTCATCACAGAATTGAGAACCAATTCGTATTGTCTGCATTGCAGGGAAACATTCGACGATCAATCGAAATTCCAGATTAAGATTGACAACAAATTTGTCAAAAGTGAACTATGATCGAATGTTTCTTTCGCTTTGCTCTGAAAGTGAAAGATTTCGTTCTTCGGTTACATTGCCGATCATGTGTTAATGAATTGAAAGAAAGAAACTGCTTCAAATAAAATTTACGTTTCGCTGGTTGTTCTGTCAAACAAAGATTGATTTCAATGAATTTAAAATCAACCCTGTTGACAACATGATACTATTGTATCGCTGTATTGATTGATTAGACTTTGAAGAATTAGATCTTCGATTAGATTAGCATTTTATCGATGTCATGAATCGTAGTGAAGACCAGTTTCAAATCGATGCAATCGAGCAACTTCATCATAAGTAAAATGATATCAGATACTGCTTGCTTGGAGATCTGTCGTTTGTCGACTTTCTTCTTCATTGTTCCTTTGTCAATTAGACCTCAAATACAATTAGAAAAATTGCATAAGAATAAACAGTTTTGATAATCGTTCTGATTGTGTTCTTTCACTTACGATAGATATAAATTGGTTTCTTTTGACTGAATCGATATCAACGAAATACCTCTTGAAGATCAGCGGTTAAACTTAGAGACATTAAGTTGAATATCAACGACTGGGTTGTATTGAGAAAAGACCTGAATACCAACTGATGTCAAAAATAATGACCCAATAAGCTGGAAAGAGATTCACTTCCAATCCACGAGCTGTTTTTGAGGTAAGAAACAAGCGACCAAGAGTTAGACTGACATTATTGTGGAGCTTTACGTCACTTGATCTTTGCAAGAAACAGACAAAATTTCGAATCGAAGAGTAACAAATGTGAATTACTATCAATTTAGAAATATTCAATATCGTTGATTCATTAAGACGATGACGATTGTTTATTCCAACGATCGAGCCACTGTTCGATTTTGTCGTGTGTCAATAGACTTCCACTAAAAATCTGATTTTTACCGTGTGTGTTCCATTTAATGTTATTAACGATAAATTGTCAATAATCATATTGTTTCATACAAATTTGTTCTGTTAGAATACGAAATTGATACTCATGAAGAGAAAGAAGACTTCTTAACGAGATTTCCTCATGTAGTACCTGTAGTGGTCTTTGAGAACATGCAGCAACTTTTCAGTGAGTAGAAAAAAAAGGAGAAAAATTCAAAGATTTCAACATATATGAAACGATTTTGCCATCTCTTTTTTTGATTAACAGGGAAGAGTTTTTATCCTGAAGCCTCTTCAAATCATCCAACATTTGCTTTTTCTTTGTTTTAAGTTTTACTTTATTATAGTGTTACGAAATTGAACTATTTGTAATGTACTCATCTAAAGTACCATCGGTTTTTTTCCATATGAAACATGTTTTGAATGTATTTCTTTATCGATGTATTTTTCAGCTTTGATTAGATTCATTACTTCAGTTTGATTTCAGAAGAGAGATGTGAGAAAGATTTTCTTAGAATTTCCGATAGGAGTTTTACCAATAAGATAACTTTTGTCGTATGTGAAGAATATTTTGATAAGAATTTCAAGGTTTTCAAAAAACATAGAAATCAGTCAGTACTGGATTTTTCAGGTCAATAGAGATATTGCTTTCCATTCGACAGAACAGAAGAATCAAGGTGAACTGATTGAAAAGATTAGTTTTTAGCAGATACCTACAAGAACAGAGACAACAGTAAATTATTCATATTAAAAAAATACATGAGAGATTTTATTATCGGTACGGTATACTAACATTGATGTTTGAAGAAGAAATTGCGAGAAAAAACTGATTAATACGGACTAGAAGATGACGACGAAAGCGAGAACAGATACATCATAAACGTATAGGGAGAGAACGCAGAGGAAGTATAACTATGACGGACTCAAAATTTGCATTATCTCATGTAAAGAAAAAAGAGAAAAAAAATTTAGTTAACTGTTCAAGAAAGAAAAAGAAAATACTTTTTTGTATCGAAAAAAATAGTTTTCAATAATTTCCATCTGGTGACTCAGAACTTTGATCTACAATCTTGGTATTTGCACTGCAGTTAGGCTTCATCTTTGGCTATCTCTGGATAAAATCAAAATGCAAATCAGATATTGTTTTTTCTAGTAAACTACTTGTTCGTATGATGAAGTGCAAGTGTTTCAATAATTTCTTTTTGAGTGACTACATAGATGTCAAAGTTGTAAAAGAATAAAATTTTAAAAATGCTTTCAATGACTTCAGCGACGACAGTAAATTAACATGGATAAGGGATTTTCCTGCATCATTCAGAAGAGATACTGACATTTTCTTCATGGCTTGTAAAAGCAAAAAAGCCTATCGACCGACTTTCGTTCTATGCTACGTGTTACCATATAAGACGATGAATGAAATTTTCTTTTGAAAACTACAACCTTTTTGTTCATTTAATTACGACAAATTGTCTTTCTGATGCTGATTCGGAAAGATATTTGACTTTTTTATTCATATTTTATATAAAAAGAAACTGTACAGCAAAAAGTTTTTTTATCGTTTCGATGCGATTTTCTCTAGCTAAGAGATATTCCTAGCAGAATTCTAATTGATATTTCTCATTAATTATAGTTCTATCATTTTACAAATTATGTTGAAGCAAAATAGGAGATGATGTTCACTTTTCTCAATGATCTGATCCATCGATACCAATGGGAGCAGCATCATTAAACCTATCGAATCCGATAATCGTTTGCCTAACTTTTCAAAGAAGAAATTCATCGAATGATAATTAAATAACAGTAAGGTACTCAATTGAAATTTTGAAATAAAAAAGATTTTTTTCATCTTAACTTGAACATGAAACATATCGAATAAATACATGCTAGAAAAGAATAAATCAAAATTATTGAAGATATTCTTCGATTTTTCGATAATTATCAATCAAAAGATTCACCAAAATTACCATTAAGAACAAATTCTTCTTTTTCATTATTATCATCTTCCTTTGTTCTTTCATCACCACTACCAACAACAATATGAAGTCACTACCATATTATTTTTTTTAGTGTAGACGAGGTCATAAAACGCTGAGTAAAAGTTGTTCCTATTTATGAAAATTATAACATAATGGCCATTGATGGTGTGAAAAAAAGAAAAGAGAGGGATTTACAAACAGATATAACAAAATATATCTGATATTTTGATTGATTGTAGAATTTAAGCACTCTCGAAAAAAACTCTCCAAAGAAAATTTGTTGCAATTGATTGAATTCTCGCATGATATTAGAAAAATAGCCGTTATACGGCCATATTGAAAATTTATCGTGACCGACCGTGACCAGGCTCCAGTCACGGTCACGGCTTTTTTAAAGAAACTGGTCACGATCGTGAGTCACGGCGGTCACGCCGATGTCTAATGCCGACACTCTATATATTCACAACCCATCCATACACTTTCACCACCAAATTAACAAATTTTAGATACAGATTATCATTGACATCTAAGAACCAATCTATTAGAATTTTTGGCTAGTTACAGAATAGATAACATCGTCTTATTGTAGAGTTTCATTACAATTCTTCTTGTTTGTTCTTGTTAGAATAAAGACTTTGTCAATTTTTTCAAGTATATTAAAAGTTAAGTAGTAATTTAGATTTTTCGTAAAAATTTTTCTAATTAGCATAACATTTGTTTTTTCCATTACATGTAAAAGCTTACTGATATAGAATCATGTAGACGGGTAAATAAAACATTCAAATTACTACACAACTACAAATATGCTTGAAAAAAAATTTCAAAGTCCTTATTTTGAATAAATTTTGTTCTTTTTTTAACAAAATGTATGGTACCGACAAACAACAGAACACCATACGTTTTCAAAAGTAACGTATAATTACTTGTTGAATTAAGACTGGCATATTGTAAGAAAATACTATATATTCGCAGTAAGACGAGAAATGTGAACAATCTTGAGGAGACCCATTATAATTTACTGTGTATCTTATGTCTTGAAGTGCTCCTAAATGTTCAATATTGTTTCAGCTTTTTTCGCAATTAAATACTTTGATGCCGAGAATCTGTACAAAAGGGAAAAAAACCCTATATAAATGATACACCGTTTTTTCTGAGACAAAACTTGTACAAAAGATGATGTTTCTGTCTGCATGGGTACCATCATTAATATAAAACACACCATCCCTTCACTAGTTTTTATTTCTCTCCGTTCTTCACATTCAAGAATGTATTCAAAGTATATTAATTATTTACGTCAAAGAATGCCCACTTCGAAGAGAACTTAGGGGTGCTGGCTTAACATTAGTGTTAAGAAAATGCTAATACTTTTGTATTAGTGTTAAAAAACTAACTTAATGCTTTTACATTAGTGTTAAAAAATTAATTTAATACTTGAGCATTAGTATTACAAAAATATTAATGTAATGGTAATGCTTATATATTCCAAGAACGGAATAAAATTGTTTCGTTATGGGAACATTTTTCCCAAAACAGAGCAACTCTGTGCTTTTTTTGGGGAACGGCTTTCCATAACAGAACAAATTTGTTCTGTTCTTGGAAATCATAAGCATCACCATTAGGTTAATACTTTTCTAATACCAATGCCAAAGTATTGAAGTAATTTTTTTAACTGTAATACTAAAGTATTAAGTTACTTTTTTAACTCTAATCCAGAATCATTAAGTAATGCAGTGCGAATGCTAAGCTCGCATTCCTATGTCAAACTTATCGAAGACTTCGCTTCTGAATGAATATTTATTCAGAAAAAAAGATACAAGATATATAAACGCTGTTAATAAATTAATAGATTGAACCCATTTTTCTTGTCGTTCAGCTTGGTGTAGATAATTTGCTCTTAACCCATTCGAAGCGCGAAAATACATCAGGACTGCGTGTTGTGCCCCCCTCAATAAGATCAGCACTCATAATCTTCGTATAGTAATTAGGAGTGAAATACGCTAAACATAAATATCCACTACGAATATTGTTTGTACTTGCAGCATGGCCTTGCCCACTCGTTCCATCGACTCGACCAGCGTACTTTGAATTTGGAAGCGTCATCACTTCGACAAGCATATTGGCAAACGGTATCATCATTGTCTGAGTGATATTATAACGGTTGAGAGCATATGCACGACAGAAACCGGCAACATCAAGGCTTCCATGATTAGAATCTTCACCACCTTGTTGGCTAGGAGAATAACCCCAATTGTAAACTTGCTTTTTATTCATTGTCTTTCTTTGCACGAGAGACCAAAACCACTGGAGATTAGCTTGGACAATATCATCATATTCCTTGACAAGAGTTGCATTAGCACTAAGAATTTCATGAGCGACAGCAGCATTTTGTAGGCCATACGAGATCATCATCTGTTGATTCCAGGGTAGATTTTCTCCACTCTTATATGGCGATGCTTTTGCAAAGAAGTAATGCTTATTGTCTTTGAGATGAAGAAGATGAGCAAAGAGAAATTGTGATATTGTCACGTCTGCTTGGGCAAGATATGTTTTCGCACGTTCCAGATAAGTATTACCATGATGAAATGGATCTCCGTCGATAACTCTCATGTTCCACAAATCCTTTTTCGTAAGAATGAGTCGAGCACAGTACGCGAGATGTCCAACAGAATCGCCCTGTTCAGCACCTCCGGTTGCTGGACTACCAGTATTGCCTGGCCATATAGGGGCAATAGTACCCGTCCAAGCCGTGCGATGACCTTTTGGAGGTGGCAGAATATCATTGCGCTGTGACAAAAGTACATCAACAAAATGCACCATTCGATCGAGTATACTTTTATTCCCGGTGATTTCATACATGAGACCCATGGCTTTAATTGCTTCACCACTATGACCTTGAGCATATTCGTTGGCCATATTCGTGGTAGTCGACCAAGTTTCGGGCTCGATAGTCCTGATATAGGCTATAAATGAGTTGATTTCGTTGTTTGTAGGTGCTCCATTGTAGCTGTCAATTGACATTTTCACCGCGGATATCATTGGAAGAAGGCCAGTCATATGAAAGAAAACTAAAGCAAGTAATGATTTTGTCATTTTCTCGTTGTGATATGAAATATTCGAGGTAGTATGGTACCTTTTTATGAAAGGCAAAGGGAAAGTTTTTTTTTTATGTATGTTTCGCCCACCTTCGCCATGTTGTTACGAACAAAATGAAAAAACGAATGAAAGAAAATAGTTCTTACAATGAACGACAGAACATAGCCATGAATACGTTAGTCATAAGGAAACGAATGAATATTCTCTCACTCTTGACATCATGTATATATATGTCGTCATTAAATAAAAAAAAAAGACATATTGCAAACATATGATGAGTCCCAACCGTCACGATATAACCGCAAAAGTTTACATGGGAAGACCATAGATATGACGAATATGTGGGATGATCGCCTGTATCAATAGTGTGACGTCAATATACTCATGCCTATGATGAAAATGTCCCACCATTGTCTATTTCTCTGTACATACAGAGTGTTTCATAAATTTTAAAGCATGACAAAATTAATTTATATGAAGATCGAGAACAAACTGTAATCAAATGATTTATATGAGCCTTGAATATTCGTATCAGATTTTCAAATTACATACTTTCGAATAATATCTTCCCTTCTAGTAATCAAGATATAAACATGAAAACGAGCGGATAAATTATCCGCAATTGATCAACATGAGTTTTTCAAAAGATTTTAAAATAAAGTGCTGAACAATCCCGAATACGAAATAGTGTAGTAGAAGTCAATGATTATTTATCGTATTCGTTTATTCGGCGCTCATTGTGATTCACTGTATATATGTTGAGCCAAGCTATGTTCTTAGGAAGCAGATTAAAGTGGATTAAATATATGAAAAAGTTGCGCGCAGAACAAAATACAAAGAACGACGACTGTATGTTGAAGTATTAATAAATTATTTACTAAACGAGTTTTATCTCAAGATGGTGACGGGTGTGGATGGACTGAGTTCTAGAGAAATCCATCATGAAACTCCACATCCACACCACACCCACACACCCACATCCACACACCCATTCGATAGAGAATTTCACGGGCTACAAAATGGTATGTAAAACATTAAGAAACAAGAAGGTTAAGTCACCTATTGCAAAGATACTTAAACGGAAATTGTTTCTGTGTTTTTATTTTTTGAAGTACACATAACACTCGGATTTAAATCCAAGGTTTTCACATTTATTTTCTTTCGTTTGGATAAATAACAAATCTTCTGTGACGTTAAAGATGAGTTCCAACATGTGTGTCATTTATATGATCGCACACTGATATTCATCCTCCTTCGAAAATATTTCATGTTATTTATAAAAACAAGTAGTGAGAAAAAAACAACTCAATCTTATTCATCATTAACATATATAGCAAAAGGGTATCTACATGAATGCATTTGGCACACAGTCAATAATCTGACACGCTTTATAATTGTTGTTTAATTGTCACATATGATATGCTGAGAGAAGGTTTTAGAGAGTGACGACAGTTGAAAAGTGATTCAGTTGAAATGATCATCGATAGTATTATAATTAAATTGAAGTACTTCTTTTTTGATTATGTAGAATTTAATAAAAGTAAATAGAAACAAACGTTTTATAGAAGCTAAAAAAAGAGTACAACAAAGAAACTTTAGACATGTTATGAAGAATAAGCATCAAATACATGTCTAAAAGCCATATGTACTCTTCAATACCTTTTATTTTTACTGTGTCATATCATTGTTGACCGAACAAGTCATAATTATTAAGTTTTTGTTTCTTTAAAAAACAAAATATACGTCAACAAATGTTATCAGCGCAAGAGTTATCTGTCATAGGCAGTGATAATATATAAATGCGAACATCGATATATAAATCAGCAGTGAGAATCAAAACATTCAGCAAATATTGTGAAGCCATTTATTTTATTAAGATACGTTTCAAGAGATAAAGGCTAATAGTGGTAAGGAGATGAAAAATGATGATGAAGAATAGTTTTCTATATAAACGAGCTCAGTGAGTGACTAACTGTTTCATCGTTATATGAATAAAATGATGTATTTGTTCTGATGACAACAATATTCAAATTTGTTCTTTTCTGGTACTTATAGATTATTTTCTTAGTGACTATTGCAATTCATTAATTGTGTAGCAAAAGTTATTTTCCGAACGATACTATTATGGAAAACGACTACGAAGCCAAAGTAACTCCCAACATGCAACCATCCGATGTGTTTTTTGATTCTTCATCGATCAAACAAGAAAGTTTTTTCAAAGGCAAAAAAGAAATTTGTGGTAAAGCGTTATCAACATCATTCATATGCTTGATATTTGTGGCTGGATTTCTTTTAATCAATGGAATACCAGTAACTCAAGTAGTCATTGGTAGTTTATATAAGGATCAATGTCCCATCGATCCTCGTATTCCAATATTTTTGATTGTTACTGGCACTGTTACGATGATTGCAATAATAATTCTGATTCTAATGGTAAGTTGGTTTTTTCTTTATCATGGGAAACTCTTTAACTTGTCTTTTTCTCTTTTGATTGATACCTAAAAATATTTGAGAGAGAATCTTCTAGTTACTGATGCTTTTATAATCTAAGATACTTTTATAGGTCATTCTAGAACAACCAGTGTGTTTGTCTTGTTTAACTATTCTTAAGTTTATTTTGTTTGGGATGGTTTATAACCGTAAGTTAAATTTTACTACAAAGCACGAAAAATCGTTAAAACTTATTTGAATCTTTCCAATTAAGGGGAGTGTTTGGATATTTCAAGCCAAAAAGACAGTTCAACATTATTCTCCTGAAAGTTCAAGTACCTATTGTCAATATTCAGTATTTAATCTTGCTTATGGAACAAACTTTTGGAACTATATTTTTGTGGGCAGTATGATGTGTCATGCTATGAACAAAATAAAATGAACAACTGATCAACCTGAATATTATTTACATAATGACATATTCGCTTTTTTTTATTACATAGCTAAAACGGATACCAGACCGGTCGAGTTGTCAAGTTTTTAACTGACACAAATCGCAGGTTTGTTTTCGCATTAACATAATTTTTTACCACGAAAACACGAAGTCAATCACTTTTGCTAGCATTTCTGATGAGTGAAAGATAGTCTTGCTTTTTGGTGCAGTAATATCAATCGATTCTCTATTTTCTCTATGGCAACAAAGCGTGCACTTGTCATACAAGACTCATTCAGTGAATCAGAGCAGCATTTTTCGGCTGGCGGTATAACTCAACATTCAGGAATGAAATTTTGTGTGGATATAATATAGACATAGGCTGTAGTATTGACACGAACCGTGTCTTAGAAAAACTGATGCATGACTAAGTAATACTTGAAATAAAATCACCCGAAAAATTTTTTTCACTACTGTATATGTTGACGTTTTTCTTATCAATATGAGCCACGAACAATTCTCTATAAGTGATCAAAAAAATGAACACCTTCAACTCAAGAATGATGCAGATATTCAATTTTTTCTTTTCGCTAACGCCACTATTGACTCACTAGGTGTATAACATATCTCCCTTGCACGTGGCCAAAAAAGAAACTGAGAGAAATTGATAAAGTTTCTCATTAGTTCGTCGTTAAAGGTTGTTCTTCATTTTACACAATTTACATATTTATATAGATATGTGAATGGTCAGTGTCTTCTCTCAATCTTAGATGGAGAAGAAAAAAGATAACGCAATAGCAATTATACACGTCTGGATGAATAAGCAAAACAAACACCAAGTTGAAAGCTACAACACAGAGACCAAAAGAGCAATCAGTGACGTCATATAAGACTCCGTCCATGTAAACGACGCTCGACATAACTTAACCGACGTTTCTCAATGCGACTCACTCAAACATATATTTTACGTAGAGGCATCGCTTCGCTGATTGTTGACGCAAGACAATTGACAAAACATTGATTCTCGATTTCATATCGAAGTTTTATGAAGAGGCGAGGTATGGGTGTGGTTGTGGAGTGTGCGTGTGGGTGGGTGGGGTGTGTAGGTGTGGATGTAGGTGGCGTGTATGGATGGGTGTGGGTGTGAGGTGTGTGGGGTTGGGTGTGGAGTATGGAGTGCGGGCGTAGTTCTTACTTGTGTTATCATCCACACCACCCATCTACACCCACACCCCACACCCTCAGCATCATCATCACTACCAAAACGAATACGACTTAATTTTATTCTTTTTTTTAAATAAATTTAAGAATAAAAATACTCTAGAAAGATAGTTAAATACAAAATATAATCTCACCAAAATCAAAATGCCTTAGAAAAAAAAAACTCGAGAATCTGATTATGATACAGAAAACCAATCCATTTTTAACGAAAGTACCATCTATTGAATTACGTATTTTTATTTTTATAATATTTATATGCTTCACATATTTTAATCATAATTTTTATATTTAAAAAATCTAAATATTTTGCATTATCAATCATTTATTTTAAATGATTACCAGAGAAATCAAATCAATCAATAGACTCAAGAGCAACATTTGTATTTAAAAAGTAGATCACATTATGCATTAAATGTGACTTTTGTTAATTATAATTATATGTTCATATTAATTCCTCGTTCTTTAATCGATAAAAAAAAGAACACTATTTTTTTCTTTATCAGCAAAAATAAATTTTAATCGATAATCATTGAACGAATACCTGAAGATTCTGGAATGTTTTATTTTTCTAAAACTATCGAGTAATCTTGTTTAAATATATTTATCCATTGTAATGAAATAAAAAAGCGTTCGTATACCCATTTCCAAAGCGTGCATGGAAGTTTCGTGTGCATAAGTTTCCGTTATAATTATTGAAAATGACTGAAAGGCATGTGAATTTGTAAAAGGATACTAT